GATAATCTAAAACTTAATATATTTTCTTAATTTATTATAGGAAAATACAAGAATTTTAGATAAATTTAATATTTTAATAATGATACGAAAGTAAAAACTATCATAATTAGAAATGAATGTTCTGACAGAATCAACTTATTTTGTGATTTTGTTCAGTCAGTCAGTAAATATACTGTACTCCACTACATTTGCTATCCCAGGCATTAAGAATTGTTGAGGGCAAAAACTTTTCTGGTGTAAAAAATCGGCATACATAGTGACCCTGTCTCAATAAATAAATAAATAAATAAATAAATAAATAAATAAATGAATGAATGAATAAAATAGTATTTTGGGATCTAATAAAGATCCCTTCTTAGAAGTAATTTATTGTTAGTGTAATAGATACATCTTATATGGATAATCTAAAACTTAATATATTTTCTTAATTTATTATAGGAAAATACAAGAATTTTAGATAAATTTAATATTTTAATAATGATACGAAAGTAAAAACTATCATAATTAGAAATGAATGTTCTGACAGAATCAACTTATTTTGTGATTTTGTTCAGTCAGTCAGTAAATATACTGTACTCCACTACATTTGCTATCCCAGGCATTAAGAATTGTTGAGGGCAAAAACTTTTCTGGTGTAAAAAATCGGCATGGGCAACTATGGGTTAACTGTGTAACTATACTTGCTGAGAAAGATATATTGTAACTACATTCACTACTGTAATGCAAACTCACTAGAGCAACACATCTCAGAAAGCCCTGCCAAACCTCTTTCCACAACTTATGTATTTTGCCATCATAATCCATTTCAGTTGTTGTGGAAAATAGCCAGAGTAAAGCACTAAAAGGTAATTGTCCTGTGGAGCTCTCTGTCTTAAGAAGCTAAGCCCGCATTCCCACTCCCAAATTCTGGGGATTTAATGCAGGGCCTTTACACTGAGGTACATCTCCAGCCCCTTTTTATATTTTTTATTTTGAGACAGAGTCTCACTAAGCTACCTGGGCTGAGCTCTTGTGATCCTCCTACCTCAGCCTCCCAGAGTGCTGGGATTACAGAGGGCGCCACCATACCCAGCCCAGGTTTCCTTTATATACGGTATTTGTTTCAGTAGCTCAGAAGTAGCTCAGACAGTGAGCATTCTCTTATCTCCAAACAGTTCCTGTGACAAGATGCCAGGTTCATTGATCACTGAATATGAAGCCTTAGATGAATATAAATTAGGCTCTGGGACCTAATATAATACATGTTCTAAAGAAACCCATAAGCCTAACGTTTCCCTTTTCTGCATTCTTTTTCAGTGGACTTTTCCATAGCATATGGGTTGGCCAGTTTGTGCTCAGTCTGATCACTCTTGCGTTGTATGTTAGAGAAATTCCTCCTGGTTTTTCCCTATTTTCCAGCATTGATAAATTGTTTCCTTATTTTTGTTCCCCATGGTCATCCCAGTAGGAACTGAAGAAGCAGAGTCAAATAAATGTGTTAAAATTGTCTTGACCCACAGATCTGTTATGATTTTCTTAGATCTTTATTATTTTACTTAAGCTTCAAAGACTGATCCCAAGGCCACCAATATTGGCATCTATATTCTTGGCAAATGTATGTAAAATATGTAAAATCACAAGTGCAATTCAAGATATTTTTGTTTCTTTTAAGTGAAAGCATTTTAAGTGCAGGTTTAAGCCCATTTTATATAGATCATGAAATGGTTAAAAAGTAATGCCCTTATCTGGAATTGGCAAAGCAGAGACTAGAAAGTGGGCAATAATTAAGATATTTAAACGTATGTGAGTTTCATTAGGATAAATTATAAATTTCTTTCCAGCCTTCATTTTGTGAGTGCCATGTTATTTCAGTCTTTGTGCAAAAATTTCTTCATTGAGGGTACTCATCAGATGAGTGTGATAAGGGTATGTGGTTTCAGTGGCATATTTTCCATTTGCACCACCTCTTCCCTTTATTTTATATTTCAAATCCTGGATAGCATACTCAATGTTATGCTTCTAACACCATTTTTTTTTTTTTGTACCAAGGATCGAACTGGGGTCCTTGTGCTTGCGAGGCAGGCAATGGAACCACTGAGCTAAATCCCTGGCCCTAACACCAATTTTTATTACTTGTACTATTTCCAAGTGAAAAGACTATTAAACGTTATTCTTTAGTTTCCAGCATGCCTTTGCTTCATATTTTATCTTCACTCTTTTGTGAATTATGAACATTTACATTTTACTGGCAGATCTTTATGAGGAAAGTGAACTTTTCCAGAAGTTATCATTTGGCCAAAGTCACAGTTATTGACAAAGGTGGGATTAAAAGCTTTGGCCAAGTGTGGTGGTACACTCCTGTAGTAGGCTGAGGCAGATGGAAAATTTGAATCAGCCTGGGCAATTTAACCAGGCCCAAGGCAGTGGTAGTGGTGGATGATGATCGTGGTGGTGGTGGCAGCAGTAGCTAAGCTGTAGCTCAGTGCTAGAAGACTTGCCAAGGATGCATAGGGTCCTGGGTTCAGTCCTGGGTTCAGTCCTCGGCACAGCAAGACAAAAAATGCTAGAAAATTGCTAGATTGTTTAAGAAACTTAGTTAGATTATTAAGTCAGCTGCCTCTTTGACTCATATATTTCAGAGTTTTGTTTTGTTTTCTGGACAAGCTAAAAAGTATTCAAATACAATCTTATTTATAAGGTGCTTTTCTTGTTTTGTGGACATTAGAAAATTGACAATTTTTCATGAAAAGAAAAAAGATGTGAAAAAGAGAAAATGATGGTATGGATGGGAATAATAATAAGGAAGAAGTAGAAGTAAATGAGGCCTGAGTGTGTCTGGGTGTGGAGTGTTTAGTCTTAGGCAGTGTAGCAGGACAGGGTTGTGATATGGACATTAGATGTAGCCACAGTGAATGCAAACAGTTTGTCTTGTAAGAGACACACATGGGCATACATTGGTTGTATAATGGGAGGGAGAATGTTAGAAAAAAAAGAAGGATATCTATTCTAGAATACTGTAGAACACATAAGTATTTTTAAGAACACAAAAGAGCTTAGAAAATTTCAAAATAACTTTAAGAGGAGCATTGTAATGGAAATCAATGGAAAAAAGTACCTCTTTAAGTAGAAGCTCTTCCATATATTCAATGGATCTGTTTTGGAAAGGCATTGACTATTCTCAAGAGACCTTATTTCCTCTCTGACTGTTGACAGCAGGCCTAAGTGTCTTCTTACCACTTTGACCTCTCCACAGAGCTGCCTGAGTATACTCCTGACATGACAGTGTGCTTCCTCAGGGTGAAATTGAGGGGGAAGTTGGGGTTGGGGTGGTTCTATTGTTGACACAGGATTGTCTTCCAAGCTCTTCTCAAAAGTTTTCCAAATTTTGATGCTGGTATTAATTCCTTAAATGAGAAGTGTTTGTGTCACAAGCATCAAGTTAATATCATACTGTTCTTTCTGTGTCTTTTCTGCTTCCAAAATAGGTTTCATTTCAGTGCTTTATCTTAATACAGTCATTTGATGGCATTTCAATGACATTGTTTTTGTCTGTTTTCTGCTGTTATACAACCCTTCTCCACTGTTGGTGGGAGTGTAGCTTGGTGTAACCACTGTAGAAATCAATATAGAGATACCTCAAAAACTAAGATTAGAGGTTCCATTTGACTCAGCTATGCCCCCTGCTTAGTATCTTCCCAAAAGAATCATACCACAGCACTTTATGTGCACCCATGTTCATAGCAGCACAGTTTGCAATAGCTAAAGCTTGGAAACAGTCCAATTGCCCATCAGCTGGAGAATGGATAAAGAAAATGTTTTTTTTAATAAAATGGGAGTACTACTCAGCCATAAAGAATGAGAAACTAGAGACATTTATAGCTAAATGGATGCACACTGAAGCCATACTCTTAAGAGAAATAAATAGGACATGTAAATACTGAAGTTTCTCTGGTGTGAGAAACAAAGTGTGAATAAGGATCAAAATATATAATAGACAATGTGAAATGGAAGAAAAGGTCCAAAGAAGGGGAAGTGGGAGGTATAAGGGAAAGGAATAAATGTGAGAAAAGGAAGAAACGGAAACAAAGTTTTTATAAATAGGTGTGGAGGGGTTGGCAGGAGGGCAGGGGAATGGGGAAAAAAAAAAACAAGAACCAAGATATATATGTAAAGGTAAAAATTCCCAATGATGAATGTCATCATATTTTATACTTAAAATGTACCAATAAACTTAAAAAAAAAAATAGAATGCCTCAGACCAGGTAATTTATAAGGAACAAAGACATTTCTCATAGTTCTAAAAGCTGGGGAGCCCAGTCTCAGGACACTGGTATGTGAAAAGGACTTTGTTGCTGCATCCTCACATGGTGCAAGGTGTCAGGACAAGCAGGGATGAACATTGTCATTCCACAAGAGAAAAGCAGAAGAGAGTGACCCTGCCCCCATGAGAACTTTTTATAAATGCATTAATGTATTTATGAGGGCAGAACCCTCATGACTTAAACACCTCCCAACACTGCTGTATTAAGAATTGAATTTCCAGCCCATGAGTTTTGGGCAACAGATTCAGACTATAATAGACGTTTAACTTTAATGCTTATATTACAATTAGTGCATCTAACTCAGTTAAAGTACCCCCCACATGAGTGTTTATGACCAGGTGTTTATATGATCTAGCCCTGAGATATGACCACTGCTTGGAACCATGTGTTACGAAGTGCACCCTGATTTCAGAAGTGTTAGGATGTGGAGGAAAAATCTCTAAAAATCAAAGAAATATGGCAAATAATTTTTCCCCTAGTCATGCTGGAGTAGAGTAGATCAAAGTCTTTTGCAGGTAAGTCTCTTTCCTTCCAGTTGCAAAGCCTTACAAACTCTTAAACTCATAGAAAAGGAACTATAAAGGGGTGATTTGTGACAAAGATTGTTATGCAGGTTATTTCCAAAGTATTTTATTTTTGTTTCAGATTTACAAATAAGAGAAACCTCACTCTTATGACTTTATTTAACTTTTCTTTAAGGGATAAAGATTACTCTAAATCCAGAATCAAAGTCAGTCTTGGCTGGACAGTTCGTGAAATTATGTTGCCGGGCAACTGGACATCCTTTTGTACAATATCAGTGGTTCAAAATGAATAAAGAGGTAATTTTTAATATCTAATTCCTCTGATATGAAAAGAAAGCTAGGAAATTATTTTCCTAAATGAGATTTTTAGGAATTGAGTTAAAGAGTGTAATAGACATTGTTGTGTTATCTGAAGTATTCAATAGTCATTATGGTAACCTAAGTCCAAAATTATACCAAAAAAAGTAAATATATGAAATAAATTTTCCACTCTCAAAACTGTGACAAGTAGAGATTATAAAGGCAATAATGTTAATAAATAGCCATCACTGGTACACTGTTACATTTCTACAAAATTATTTACAGCAGATTATGTTCCAACTAAAATTTTTAGCTAAAAGATTTTCAGAACTACATGGAATGCTAATGCAGTGCTGTTTTTTTTGTTTGGTTTGGTTTGGTTTTTGTTTTGGTTTTTTGATTTGGGGTTTTTCTTTTTTTCTTTTTTTCTTTTTTGCTGTACTGGGGATGGAACTCAGGACCTTGCATTTATGAAACAGGTGCAGTACCACTGAGCTAAATCTCTAGCCTGTGGGCCTGCCTCGCAAGTACAACGTCCTGAGTTTGATCCCCAGTGGAAAAAACAAACAAAAAAACAAATCTCCAGCCCAATAGGATTATATTTTTTACAAACTTGGTACTTGAAGGAAGTGGAGAACAGCAAGAAGACCAAGTGTCTTATGGTTGTGCTTGACTAGAAAGAGCTGTGGTGTGGACTCAGATACAGCAGTGGAAATGTATTTTGAGGCATATTTCAGTATGTTTCTGAGAGATGGAGTTAGCCAAACCAACAAATTAAATGTGAAGCATGAGAAAGGAGGAGGAGAAATCCAGAGTGACCACAAGGCTTTCCACTTGAGCATCTGTGACCTGTTTATACTGAGAGGAATAGAGGTAGGGAGAAGAATCAGTAGTTTGATGTTAGACATGTTAAGTTTGACATGCTTATTAGACATGCAGATGAATCACTTAAGCACCTTGGATATCTGGGGAAACAACATTGAGCATTATATAATGAGGAAAGTTTCGGGAATAACAAAGAGACCAAGAAGAATAACACAAAGTATTTGAAGAAGAAAGAAGTCCCAGCTTTCTCAGTGCAGCTAAGAGGGGGTGTGGGGTCAAGGGAGGATTGTCTGGTTTATTTAAGATAGAAGGTATTAGAGTATAATTTTGATAGTGATAGAATAAAAGGGAAAAATAGATACTGATGCAGGAAGAAAATTGTGGAAGCAAGGTTGGAGAGTATGCAATTGTTGGAAAGGAAACCTTCACCCTAAGTAGTGTATTAACTTGCCAAATAGTTAAAATTTGAGGCTTATATATCTAACTTCATGGAAAAAATGAGCTTCTATGGGAGAAATTCCTTCTTTTACTTAGATGAAGGAAGCCCAAGAAGTCTCTGCATCTGTTGAATTCAATACCTTCAGTTTAATGCAGTCTTCATCCCAGCTCTGGGCTTTCCAACAGCTCTTCAGCCCAAGTAGCCTTCGTTAGAAGATACATCTTCCATCTTAGCTAGTAGGAAAAGGGCAGTTATAAGTAGATGCAGACATGGATATATTTGTAGTTTGCTGACAGAAAAAGGAGAGAATTCCCATCTATAGTGAGTTCTGGCAGAAGCAAAATTGCAGGAGTTTTGAGGAGAGATTGATTAATCACACTGTAAGAAAAGCAGACTTAACAGGATAACATGATCTAATTGTCAAGCACCACTGAGTGCAGCCTGTTGTCCCAGATACCCCATCTTCAGTGAAATGCCCTTCCTGTGCCCCTACTGAGAGGAGAGTTGATTTCAGTTGCTCAGGGTTTAGAAATGGAGAGCTACAAGTTTGTTGAAGTATAGTACCTTAAAAGGGGATATAATAGGCACTTAAGGAAGCACCTTGGCAGGGAATCCAAATTGGGTTGAGCTGATAAATTCCTGGGAGCAGCAAAGTAGAAAGAAATCTAACTGTGGTAACAGAATCCCAATATACAAAGCTTGGGAGATGTTGGATGGCACCTATCACTTACAAACTTTCACTGTCTCCTCTCCATCCAGAGCTTGAAAGAAGCTGGCTTTGGTTTGGTTAAGGAGTCTATCCTATTATAGAAATTTGCTGATGAGAAAATGGGGTCCCCAGGTAAAATAACTTGACCATGTATTCATAGTTAATTTGGTTAGAACTGAAAGTTATCCCAAGGACTGATTGTGTGTGCTCTTTCCACACCATTGCTGTTTGTGATATGCTGTTTACTGCATAGCTCACAAAGGTGGCAGGTGTATGTCCTTTCAACACCAAATGATAGAACTGTTTCAATGGCAGAACAAATAGTTTTCTGTTGTGAACTTCTGGAAGATATTTGAGGGATGGCTTACCTCTCTGGTTAATGGGTTTATTAAAGACTGGATTTCTAATACTTCAATTCTAAGTAACTCAAATGTTTCTTTACTAACAGTATTTTAAAACCTGGAGGGAAGATAAAAGGCATGCTTTCAAAGCTCCATACTAATATCATACCCTTGGTGCAGCAAGTTTTATGTGTTTTTGATAGATCATTCACTTATATTCTCTTACTGATTCTTTACAGATTCCATATGGAAATGCATCCGAACTTATTTTTAACACAGTGAATGTAAAGGATGCAGGCTTCTATGTTTGTCGTGTTAATAATAATTCCACATTTGAATTCAGCCAGTGGTCACAGCTAGACGTTTGTGAAGTGACAGAAGTAACAGAAACCTTCCAAAGTAAGTGACAAAATAAATTTAATGTTGATTGGTAGATCACCTAATTTTAAGTGTTTACTTTAAAATAACCTCAGAGTATCAAATCAGTACCAAAATTTGATGTATGTATTTTACTTAATATCTCTAGTTATTAAAATTTGATCCAAAGCTGGGTGTGGTGGCTCACACCTGTAATCCCAGCACTCAGGAGGCTGAGGCAGGAGGATCACTATGAATTCGAGACCAGCCTGGGCTACATAGTGAGTTCCAGATCAGTCTCAACTACATAGTGAGACCCTGTCTCAAAAAACCCCCCCCAAAAAAAAAAAAAAGATTTGATCCAGCCAGGGATTTAGCTCAGTAGCATTGCACCTGGCTCACTAGCACAAGGTGCTGAGTTTGAGCCCCATACCAGGAGGGGAAAAAAGATTTGATCCTGTGTGCTTTGTCTTTATCTGCGTGAACGTGCTTATGCAAGTCCCTAAGATGACATTGAACCTTCTCAGTCTGGTCCCTGCAGTTGACTCCTCAAGCCTACCAGCTTTTAAGGCCTGATAACCTCTTTTTGTGCACAAGCTTAATTTATCCCCATTACTTCTGTTTTCTTGAATATGCCTGCCTGCTAACTTTATCTCAAAATTTTGTAAACTTGTCCACAGTATTCTTTATCCATAGAATATCTCTTAATATTTTTGGGTGTGCTACAGTTTGGTGAAAGATTATAAAGATTGAGGGGTAAACTTGGACACAGCCTTTTTTTTTTTTTTTGGTATCGGGGATTGAACTCGGGTCCTTGTGCTTGCAAGGCAGGCCACTGAACTGCTGAGCTTAATCCCTGGCCCTCATTTTTTTAATTATAGGAAAATTTGTTTTTTTTTTTTAACCTGGAGATGTTATTTTTCTTTTAATTTAAGAAAATTGGGATGAATCCAAGTTGCAAATCTGTGTTGAACCAAAGTCCCAAAAGCTAATGCCAGGAAGCACATTGGTTTTACAGTGTGTTGCTATTGGAAGCCCTATTCCTCAATACCAGTGGTTCAAAAATGAATCACCACTAACACAGGAGACAAAAAAGGTATACATGGTAAGTAGTTCATTTGGGGGTATATTTTTGGATTAATAGGTAAAATAGTATGATTAAAATGTAAAGTGAACACAAGTTATGTTCTTTGGGGTGTTGTAATATTTTCAGTATTTTTATTTCATTCCTCTTGTGTTTTAAAATTGATTCTGGTATTTGCAAAAATGCTAGAATTCAACATTTAAAATGTCAAATAATATTGTACCAGATTTTCTAATATTGGAATCATATCATTTGCTTGCTAATATTTATTGTAATGAAAGTATATTATCTAAGAATGTCTAAATTCTTTTGAAATGTTATGTTTTGAAAAATTTTTGAACACAAGATGATTTTTCTCTAAACCAATTTAAATCAAAATTGAAGAGGGAATATGTATGTGTTCTGATACTAATATATAGGTGCCTTATGTGGATTTGGAACATCAAGGAACCTACTGGTGTCATGTATATAATGATCGAGATAGTCAAGACAGTATGAAGGTAGAAATCATCATAGGTAAGCATTATTACTTGCTGTTCTTCAAAGTGCAATATATATAAACTATATAAATTGACATATATAAGCAAAGGAAATTCTATTTTATTACTTCATACTGTTTGTCTTTAATATCTGAAGTTATATTGTTTGCATAGAAATTTCAGAGAATGCATACCCTAGCAAAAGAAAGGAAAAAGCTGTTTTTAGATCACTTTAGTTGTTCTTGGGTGTTATTTATTTTAAATATTTGTGACAAAAAATACAGTCTTTAAGTCTTTGGTTACAAAATATTTGGTGAAAAAGATTTTTAATAAGATATTTTAAAAAACAACCATCAGGGGCCGGGGATTTAGCTCAGTAGTTCCGGTGCCTACCTTGCAAGCACAAGGACCCGAGTTCAATCTCTGGTACAAAAAAAAAAACATTAGGCCAGGGATTTAGCTTAGTGGTGCTGCCAACCTGTCTTGAAAGCACAAGGACCTCAGTTCGATCCCTGTATCAAAAAAAAAAAAAAAATCACAGACATAAAGGAAAAAATGATTATTAACTGACAATCCCCATTATGAACTGCATGATTTAGAAGTTTGTCCTACTTATCTTTAATGTTTATCATTATGCTGTTAGTAGTAGGAGATTTTGATGCATGTATTTGGTTTGCCAGCATATTTCTATGATACTTATCTTGCTTTTCCCTTAATGGCTGCCTTTCCTAAGATCATGAATTATAATATAATCAAATTTGTTTTCTCTGAAACAAGGAAGAACAGATGAGGCAGTGGAGTGCACTGAAGGTAGTGTAATTCTTCGGTTGAAGACCAAGCCTCCTGCATGCTAGTTACTCTGGGGACTGGTGGAGTGCTCTATCTTACTGAGTGCAATGATGGAAAAAATACTAGCTCTAACAAACAATTTTGACTGGACAACGTTTAATCTTAGTCTTTGAAGTTTTATAAATTGCCAGACACTATAAAACTGACACACTACTCCATAACTAATGTTCAGTTTTTAGTGCACATAAAAGCAGAACTCATGCACAACATATTTTGAGTAATGAACATTGATAATTCTTAAGTTAATTTTATCTTCATACATTTATAAAATAAATAGCTATGTATATTTGTTTAGGTTATTCTTTACCTCATATCAGATATAAATATGGTTTCTGTAAAAGTTTTAGGCCAGCTTTAACATGTTTTATCAAATATTAAGTATTCTGAAAATAATATTGATAAGGCTGTTTTGAAGTTAATAGGCTATAGACTTATCTACCATGTCACCTTTACCACAAAATTTATTTTGTAAACAAAACTCAAAATTTATTTCAACATAAACTCTGACTTTTAATTAGCCAAAGCATTGCATTTAAATTATAATGAAAATGATAAATATTAAACTTGGATCACTTTCTCTTATTGTGATGCCACATTAGTTAGCAAAATGAGGTTTGTGGATAGCAAAGTATTTTTTCAATTGCTGCCTCTTCAAACTCTTGCATAACCTTAGGCTCTATTTGGATAGAGTAAGAAAACACTGTTAAATCTTAGGTTTCCTAGTTTTCCTTTTCTTCATATTTCTGTGCTATCACTTTTAAAATACAATTCCTGTCTTCATTCCTGGTATATAGTTGAGTTGCAATCCCACAGTCTTTTAACTCTATGTGAGGAAAGGCATGTGAAGAAATCTTGATCAACCATCTCTTCCTCTTACTCCTTTTTGCCTAATTGCATGTTTTTTAAATTTCCTAACACTGGAGACCTCTGAGAATATAAATTAAGTGAGCACTGCTGTTTAGCTTCAGATTGATCCATATGAAGCGGCTGCTTATACCTGCTCAGTTCACCATCTGATTATTTTTGAGAGGTAAAACCTTAAACAGTAATTTCAAATAATTCTGTTCAGAAACAGAGAGATGAAAATCTAGTGAGGAAGTTAATCCAAAAATTTCAGATGGAAAAACCAGGTGCAACTTTTTTTCTCAAAAAAATTACTTAAATTGAGATTTTAAAATTTAAGTTAGATTGGTGTGTATTATGAACCATGTCTTAATATTATTTCCTTCTTTAATCTATAGAACACAATCTACTCTATTTAATATCTTACATTTCATTAAAGGTTCTAGGTTTAGGACAGGGGATGAGCTTGAATAGGTGAAGTTCAGAGAGTTTCAAGGAACCCTGGAACTAGCCTGTATTATAACTGTAATGGCAAATATACATTTAAGTTTTTTTAAATCATTAGTAGGCGAGCAGCAGGGGGTAGCCAAAATGGAGTGCAGAATATGACAGAAGTATTTAAGTGTGTTACAAGTGTATGGAACTACCTCACTGAAGACAGGTAAAAGAAAGTGCCAACTAAGCAACTAGAAGTGAGTCTGGTCAGTAATATCAAAGGTGGAAGAAATTGTATATAACCCTTGCATCAGTTGATGCCACTTAGACTCTCATGTATAAGTGAGAATATAAAGTTCCTTTATAATACTTCATTATAGTATAATTTTTGCACTATATTGTTAATGTTATCTTCTATCTTCATGAAATTGTAAAGAAAGGATAGAAGGTATAATAATGTCATGGACATTTACTTTGATTATTTAACTATCCTTTAGCTAATAAGAAAACCCACAGGGAGGATAGGTTAAATTTGAAATCACTCCTCGTCCCTAAAGCACGTCACATCTTGAGAAGCCGTGAATAACCACGAGGTAAACATCAGACAAATACCAGTTAAAGAACATTCTACAACATACCTAACCAGTTACTACTCTAAATTGTCAAGGTTGTGAAAAACAAGGACTATCTAAGTAACTGTTACAATCAAGAGGAACCCAGTAAAACAGTAATGTGTATGGAGTCCGCCATAAAAAAGGGATTTGAACAATTCATTAGTTGTGATAAATATATCATACAAACATAAAATACTAGGGAAAATAGGTTTAGGATATAGGGAAACTCTGCTCTATCCTAAAATAGTTCTATAAATCAAATGCTCTAAAATTAAAAATTTTTTAAGAAAAAAGATTACTTGAGATTAATTAGTTCCAACAGGTTAATAGTTGAGGCTACAGACAGACCTGTATTTAGATCATTTCTGTCCCATAATTGGCTAGAATATCTAAAACTTTGAACAAATAGTGAGTTTATCTTTTCATCATTTAATGAACACAGCAATAGCTTGGAAGTCCTTAAATGATGTTTACAACAGTGTTCTTTCCTTTTCGGTATTGCATGGCTTCTTCATTTTAAAAGTTCTAAATTGATGAAACATTATATGATTTAAGATGACCTTTGTTAGTCTTATTTGTGCTAAATTGTAGATTAATCTGTTTTCTCTTATTTTATTTTAGATGAATTAAATAATTTTGGCCATCCTGGTGAGTAATAGAAACAAAATATTTGGTTTTAGATTTTTAACTTGTTAAATGAAATAAAGATCCTATAGACACTCTTTTGCTAGAGTAATCCTTGTAACTTTTTTTCTTTATAATTTAGGGTTGAAATTGCTGCTTTCAGTTTTGGGCAAGTGAAACAAAAATATTTTTGAATATAAAACCATAAAAGTAGACTGTAATATGAGGCTGTATAAAATGTCATTGTGTTTTTTCATTGTTGTGTGTTACTCCTTTTATGCAAAGGAGGTTAAAGGGGAAAGTATATGATCTTTCATTTTCAAGATAGGAAGCACGCATGAAAGAGTAACTGGTCAGACCTGAACCTTTGCTGCGCAGATAAAATACAACTGAAGGGGCTGGGGATTTAGCTCAGTGGCACCACACCTATCTCGAAAGTGCAAGGTCCTGAGTTCAATCTCTGGTACCAAAAAAATAAATAAAATAAAATACATCTGAAGTAGTTGGGTAGGTTCCTTCAACTGAAGCAAAGTGAGAATAGCTGGCTTTGCACATTGGTTGGTTAGTGACAGATTGACTTGGCAGGAGTATTAAGAACTGTCCTGGCCAATTATAATTAGAACGGATTTCTTACAAACTAAGCTAAAGGGAAAGCCTTTAACTGAGATAAGGGAAATATCAGTAGGGAGGAATATGTACAGACTGAGGACATCAGTATAGGATATGGACATTCTGAGTTACTGTAGTAGAACCTATGGATAAATGTGAAAATAAAATTTTATTAGACTATATTAACAAGGCACTTATTTAATATTTGTAGAAATCCCTACTGTTTCTCATTGCTATTTTAGCACCATAATTAGTTTTTTAGATTCTTTTTCTTTCTCTAGTCCTTTCCTTTTTTTTCTCCCCCCGGCCCCCATTGTAGGATTGAACCCAGGGCTTTGTATATACTAGATCTACCATGAACTGCACCTCCAGCCCCAGTTTGCCTAGTTTCATGTTTGGTTAATAAACATCTATTATCATAAATGCTGTTTGGACTGTATTGGCTATATATAAGCAAATTAGACAAAACAGAAAGCCATCATTACCAACATCATTCTCCTTGCTGTAGTATCCTGGAATTCATACAAAGCCTCAGAGAGACTTAATTCAAGCATTCAAAACTACATACTGCTGGGCTGGGGATTTAGCTCAGAGGTTCCACCGCCTACTTCACAAGTACATGGTCCCAAGCTCGATACCAAAAAAACAGAATTAAAAAAAAAAACTACATACTGTTGAGCCATCCAAGTAATTGTGTCTCTTGGTCTAGATAGAATCCCTTTTCCTAAATTAGTTATTTCTTGACTTTATTTAACAAATATTACAAAGTTATTTTATAAAAACTTTTGTGTATACCCACAACTAAGCTTCTAAAATTTTCCTGGCCCCTTTTACCTTACTTCCTAAGATTCAGAGATGCCCAAAACTGAATTCATGAAGAAGTTATATGTGGGGAATGTGTAATAGACTCCCATAGCCTATTTATGTTATTAAATATGCAAAGAGAGTTCCCCTCTCAATAGTAGTGGGCGAACCACAGACTGATCTTTACCTACGTCTCTTCCTGGTGGTGCTTGAAGGTGTGAGGGATTTTGTGTTTTGTAGAGTATGGTGAAAGCATAGGCAGGGGATTCCAAGTTCAAGCCCAACTATTTAACAATTGCTTTATGAAGCAATTTAGAATCAAGTCTCTGAGGCTTTGTATGAATTCCAGGATACTACAGCAAGGAGAAAAAGTCTGCAGATGTAGTTCAGTGTGAAAGACCTGGATTCAACCCCCAGTATCACAAAGGGAAATGAAGAAGAAAAAAGTGAATCTGGAATGAGACACCTTAAGTTAGAATCCATATTTGCTATTACTAACTTATTTTTGGACAAATGACTTAACCTCTCTGCCTCAGTTTTCTTTATGTATGTAACAAAGCAATTAATAACGTATCTGATAGGTACAGTGAGATTTAATTTAATCTGTCAGATAGAATATAGAGTAGTACCAGCTTAGGTGTCCATAAATGTCAGTAACTGCTGCTGCTATTTATTATTCTGGATATCATCTCTGTTTTCAGATTGTACTTGCTACTAAAATGTTAAGGATTATTACCTCATGCTGTTGGTCAGTTACCTAAGTTATTACCCCACCTTGATTCCAATCCTATTGCTCCTTGTATGTTTTTGTTTTAAAATATCTGAAAATTTTTAAATTGTAAGTTAACTATCAGCATCTGTATTATAGATTTTTCTTTTCAATTGACATATTTATACTTATTCATGGAGTATACTGTTGTAATCTGATACATGTATGCAATGTGTAATGATCATATTGGGATAATTAGCATATCCATCTCTTCAAATTTTATCACCTCCATGTTTGGGGAACCTTCAAACACTTCTCACTATTGTGAGTATTTAGTTTTCTAGATTATAGTTGTCCTATTGTGTTAGAAGACATTAGAACTACTTCTGCCTCTGTTTTAGTGCCAGTTGTCTGCCTCCTCACCATGCCTGCTTCCCTTTCCAGTCCCTAGTAACAGCTGTTCTACTGTATTTTGTTCATTCTGATATTGTTTTCATTCATTGCTTTTCTTATATCTTTAGTCTGAAAATGTTTATATCATGATGATAACATCTGGTCTTTTTTTATCTTGGTATAGACAGTAAAGAGCAAATAACTGACCAGTCTTTGGGTAAGTAGAGCTTAAAGTGCATAATTACATACAATTACAATATTTAATTCTATTTTATGATGACTGAGGAAATTTAAACTGTTTTAACTTGATTGCTTTTATGAACATTTGAATAACATTGGGACCAAATTTTTGTATTTGATAATTATAAAAGAAATTATAGAAGAGAAAGCTTAGAAATAATATAAACTAGCTAGGCATGGTGGCACATCTGTGTAATACCAGCTACTGGGGAATCTGAAGCAGGAGAATCTCAAGTTTGAGACTAGACTGGGGAGCCAGGTGTGGTGGCGCACACCTATAATCCCAGCACTCAGAAGGCTGAGGCAGGAGGATCTCTTTGAGTTCGAGACCAGCCTGGGCTACATAGGAAGTTCCAGGTCACTCTCAACTACATAGTGAGACCCTGTTTCAAAAACCAAAAAAGAAAAAAAAAATAGATAAGACTGGCAACTTAATAAGACCCTGTCTCAAACATTTAGCAAAGGTTGTGGTGGGCTCTGTTGTAGAGCACTTGCCTGGCATGCGTCAAAGCCCTGGAACCAATCCCCAGTACCACTAAAAAAAAGGATAAATTCTGCTGTTTCTGGGGCCAAGCCAACTTCTATGCAGTGGTTTCTGTGTTCTGGCAACATGTAAATAAACATAAACAAAAAGATGTGCATAGTTAACTTTTATCATGAAATTCACCAAACATCAGGTACTTCATCTGTGCAGCTGCCCTTTATGAAGTAAGAGAACAAACCTTGATTCCTGAATGAGGGGCATTGCAGTCTTAATAAAAACGCTGATATAAAGTGAATAATACAGTATATGATACGTGTTATAATAAAAATAGATGTATGCCACATGGCATAATAGAAATAGGTAAAGAATCTAGAAATTATTCCTAGTAAATGGTAATGAGATTTGTCTAGGAGAATCAGAGAAGTCTAACGAGGCAAAGCCCAAGTGAAGATTTTTCACGGGTAAATTGGGAGGTCCAGGTAGGTATTTGAGACACACGGCCTAAGGTGTGGTGATAGTAGAAGCATGTACAAGATGGTGATTGAGGAACAAGCAGGTCGGTATTGCTGGAAGCAGAGTCCTAGGGAAGGACTAGTGGGCATTGGACTGTAGTTACCTTTGGGAATAGCATTATTCCAAAATTTAAAAGCTCACTAGCTCAAACATAACATGAGTGTTTGTTGTTTTGGTTTGTTTATTTGTTTTTGTAGTACTGGGCCTTGAATTCAGGGCATTCCCATTGAGCTGCAGCCCTACTAGTCTCCTCCACCCCACCTTCGCAGTACTAAAGATTGAACTTGGAGCCTTTTTTTTCTTTTTTAACTTTCTGCTTTGAAACAAGGTCTCTCTGAGTTGCCCAGGTTAGGCTCAAACCTCTGATCTTCCTGGCTCAGCCTCTCACTACTAGGATTTTAGAGGGTGTCATTTCTCCAGGCAGTTACTACACTCATGATTCTGTGGGTTGGCTAGATTCAGCAGATAGTTCTGCTCATCTCTTACATAATTACTGTCACTTGGTAGCTGGGACTACAACATCCAAGGTGGCTTTGCTTGCATGCTTGCCATCTTAATAAGAATTGTTAAAGACTTCCTTCCCTGTGCTTCTTTTTCCTTCTTGACTTACCTAGCAGGTAAGTTTACATCAGGTTTTATATACATCATGACTGGATCTCAAAAGTGGAAGCTGTCTGGACTTAAGATTTAAATCCAGAACTGGCAGTGCCACACCAAATCACGTTTTCAGAGAAAGCCACAGGTTCAGGCATGGAGCTGACTACCATATAAGGGCAAGGGTATCATGGTTCCTTGGGGGCCATCTCTTATCACTACTGGAAAGGTAGGCTTAGACTGCAAATGGCTTTGTATACCAAACTGAGGAACTTGGACCTTATTTTGTAGAACATGGAAAGTCATTTAAAAATCTAGAACTAAACATTTTAGAATAACAAGGAGTGTATAATCAACCAGTCAGATCTGATGCTAATTCTCAAAGGTCTATGAATAGCCAATTTTTTTCATTTAACATATATGTAATATACCATTTAATATCTACCAGGCCCTTTTCTAAATGCTTAGGAATAATAACCTATTTTAGACAAATAACATAGTAATTAGAATTATTAGATATGGAATGAATAATTCTATAGCAGTTTTTGAAGAACACTGCACTAAGTTCTAAAAGATGTTTGGGATCACGTAAATTAAATACCTTTCTAAAGAGTTTTATTGTTCTTTTGCATAATCAACTGGCTTTTTCTGTGTGTGTGTGTGTGTGTGTGTGTGTGTGTGAGCATGTGTGCATGCATGCTGGAGATTAAAGGACTCTTACATGTTAACACATGCTGCATCACTCAGGTACATGCTTAACTCCATGTTTCCTTTTTCCAGTAAATGACCTTTGGTCAAGAAGCAGTGGGTGGCTTTTACCGTAAATGTTTTTATAAAAAATCGTTTGCATTTATTACCTGCAATTGCTTCTCTATCGACTGTTTTGAGGTTCTCTGTTTCTGTCTCTTATTTCGTCAAATTCAGACTTTATTCTTCTTTTCTGTGTCCTGTCTCTGAAGTCTGACTCTTTTCCATTTCTACACCAATTTCCTGGAATGAGTGTCAGCTCTTATTTCAACTGCAGCTTCTGTATGCTACATCCACCCTCGTTCTCCTTGCATCCAGGAACGGCTTCACAAGTAGATTAGGCAAGGTAAGATTTACTTACCCACCATCATTCTTAACATTAAATTCAAAAGGTATTTTAAGACATCTTAGAAGCTAGCTATTAAAAATTATCATTGAAAAGATTTTAGAGGTTATTAGTTATTCATAATTGATACATTTTAAGATTTTCTCAGATTGTTCAGCCCTTGCATTCTGTAAACTGTGTTGTTCTTTCTGAAATACAGTCTGTGTCACTTAACAGTATTTTTTCTGAGAAATGTGTCATTAGGTCAGTTATTCATTGTGGCCCCAGTGCAATGAAGAGATGCATTAATTAAAAATGAGATGTATAAATGAGCCTGCTGCCAGCATAACATCACGTACTGTTATACAATAAACTTTTTGTATGAAGTAAAAGGTATATACTTTAACAATAATTTTTAAAATAATAGTGGAAAAAGCTGGGCGTGGTGGCACATGCCTGTAATCCCAGCACTCAGGAAGCTGAGGCAGGAGGATCTCTGAGTTCAAGACTAGCCTGGGCTACATAGTGAGTTCCAGGTCAGTCTCAATTACATAGTGAGACCCTTTCTCAAAAAAAAAAACCCAAAAAATAAAAAAAATAACAGTGGAAAGTGTAAGATATAGCCAGCAGCATAAATACTTATCATCAAGTATTCTGTGTGCAGTTGTATGTGCTATACTTTTATATGACTGGCAGCTCAGTAGGTTTGTTTACATGCATAACTTCAGAAAAGGGTATAGTGTTGAACCTCTTCAACTCTAAGCTGTATTCAGCATTCCCTACTGTTTAGAGCAGACCACACTTCTGCTTAAGTTAACTGATCTTTTTAAGGCATACATAAAGATCTTTTGCCTCTTTCCCCACTGTTTCTGTCACAACCTACTATTTTTAGATGGGTGTGGTGGTGCACACCTATAATTCCAACTTCATGGAAGGCTGAGATGGCATCACAAGTTTGAAGCCAGCCTGGGCACTTTAGGAATACCCTGTCTCAAAATATAAAAAGGACTGAAGATGTAGCTCAGTATAAAGGATCTGGATGCAATCCCTAGTATTGCAAAGAAAAAGGAAAAAAATGATTGTTGAGCTGTGTCATAACACTAAGTTCAGAAAATGAGCTGTTAAAAAAACAGTCTTGTGTTCCTCCAGCAGCCTCATGGCAGTCCAGTAGGAAATATTTTTAAAAGAAACAGAGAGAATATAGTCCATCTATACAGCTACTGCAAAAAAACATAGTCCTTGTGGAGGTTTTTCTTGTTTTGTTTTGTTTTTGTTTTTTTTTTTTCTAATGGAGGATCAAACTCAGGACCTGCAAGGCAGTCGGTGGCACCACTGAGCTAAATCCCCTGCCCTGGAGTTCTACTTTTATCAGGCCTTTCCCTTTGCTTGCTTTGATATATCTTCTTCCTGTCTCTCTTCTAGGTTAAGTTTGGTTTGGTTTTTTCCTCTTGTGTTGTTTGAAAAATAAAACCTAATTTATATGGGACCCAATTATAAGTATTTCTTGTTGAAATGCACTCTAAAAGCTTAGTTGAATATTCTTTCTTTCTTTTTTTTTTTTTTGTAATTCAGTGAAAGTGTACTTTGATATCTGTTACTATACACAGCTAACAAATACCTTCTTCCTGTTTCTCAGAAGTATTCATAAGTTTAATTTCAGCTATTTGATATTTTAGCCTCACATGTTCCTCAGTGTATTGATTGATCTATTATATAAAGTAATAATGCTAAAATGAAAATAATAATGAAATCTTACTTGAAATTAAATAGTTCAATCTTAAAGCAGACTTCGTTTTTATAATGATCCCATTTCCATGGGTTTTAATCTTTTTATACTCCTTTAACACCCTCTCCCTTTTTTACAGCAAAAGACAAAGTTGCACTTTTGATAGGAAATATGAATTACTGGGAACACCCCAAGCTTAAAGCTCCCTTGGTGGATGTGTATGAGTTGACCAACTTGTTAAGACAGCTGGATTTCAAAGTTGTTTCATTGCTGGATCTAACTGAATATGAAATGCGTAATGCTGTGGATGAATTCTTACTACTTTTAGATAAAGGAGTATATGGTAAGATATTTATAGTCTTTTATAATTATCTACTGTTTTTCTCTTTCTTAAGTTAGGTTGAGAGTTGAAAAATTAGATAAAGGTAAGATAAACACTTTGAATTGAAGAGTTTTATTTTTCTGATCGAAGGATAGATTTGATCTTCATTCCACTAGCTTAATGTTTTGCTTTTACATTTACTGTATTATCAAAACAGTATTATTCTTATTAGAATTACTGTCACATCTTTCATGATTTTATTTTTATTGACTACAAAAGCTACTATAAAGTTTGATGACCAAATAGCAAAGCATACATTCATATATGTAAACTGCTTTATGGGATCCTTTGTTATTGCAACAGAATGTACATGCTTGTTTCTTTTTCTAACTGTTTCATGTAATATTTTCTAGTTTTTTAGTGGGAACTAGAATTTAAAAAGGAAATATTCATGAAGGATGTATACAAAAACTTTTTTCTTGCAGTTGCTAGAATTTAAATCTAGTGCTGTGTGCAATAGGCAAGCATTCCATCACTGAACAACACCCTTGGGCCTATTGCTTTATAAATTAAAATTTATAGGCTGGGCATGGTGGCTCATGCCTGTAATCCCAGCACTCGGGAGGCTGAGGCAGGAGGATCACTGTGAGTTGAAGACCAGCCTGGGCTACATAGTGAGTTCCAGGTCATTCTCAACTTCATAGTGAGGCTCTGTCTCAAAAAAACAAAACAAAACAAAAAAAATTATAAATTAAAATTCTATACAGATATAATTCAAGATGCACCACTACAAAAATTACAGCAGTAAATTTTTAATGGTTTTTCCAATCCCCTCATTTAAGTATGTTAAGAACACTGCATATCTAATAAAGAATTTCAGAAGAGAATAAGCTATCAGTAGTAATTTCCCCCCTAATTTATTTTTATATGTATAACCTCATATTTGGGAAGGCAACTTGTTGAGCTCATTTGAACTATATCTCACTGGACTGTGCTTACCATGACATTGTGCAATATTTTACTGCCAGGAAAGTGACCTTTTCCACACCTGTCATTAGGCATGCAAGTGATAAAAAGTATCAATTTGGCTTTTATATGATTCAAATTACTGACTGTAGTAATTTCTGAATTCAACTTTTTTAGTTGAAATTAGATTGATATGGTGAGGCAAGCTTGGGAGAATTGCTAGTGATTCTCAAAGTAAATTTTTACAGTCACAGGCTTTTTTTTTTTCTTTCTTTCTTTTTTTGCTGTATCAGGGATTGAACTCAGCTGAGACCTTGCACTTGTGAGGCAGGCACAGTGGCACTGAGCTAAATCTACGCTGCCTTCTTGGTGATTGGTCTTGTATTTTTATCCTAGAACCAGGTGGACTTTTTAGTATATTTACATTATATAGTTTAATCTCAATTTTACAGGTGCCTACATGGCTTGAACTTCCAAAACTTCACTGGAAGCAATGATGTGTAAGACAAAAAGATTGATGAATTTAGATTTCTGAATTGGTAACATATTTAAAGAATTAGGGAATTTGGTTATTCATATTTTTATTAACCCAGTTACCTTGTCTTTTTAAGCCCTTTCTTGGACTGTTTAAATCAAAACCTTTAAATGCCTCTGGTAAGTAGAAAACCAGAAATATGAAAAGTTGGGGCAAGATTTCCATTTAGGCCAAAGCTTTACCCACTTTGGAAACATCATCTTGGGCTGCAGAATAAAAGATATATTAGAACAAAATGGCAGCTTGAGAAAGCTAGAAAAATTTTAAATCCTACTGATTAATTTCTTAACAGGGTGGCTGCATTATATTTTGAAGTATTATGACTATCCAAAACATCAGACACATCTACACTAAATGTAAGTGTGGTAAAGGCTTGAGGGTTTATAAAGAAGCCTTTCATCTTTCATGTGGACCATGCCTTTACCTCTAGTTGATAAGTTCAAGTGAATAGTAGTACTTGAGAGGTGGGCAGAAGGTGAAGGCAGAAACAGGAGTGTCACGCGAACAACATTAGGGAAAACATATAGATTCAAGTTTATGCTGTTGTATTGTCTGTGGGTTTGTGACAGAAATAAAAATTACAGTAGAACAAGAAATAAGTAATTCACTTGGAAACATTTGTAAACCTAAAAAACAAGAACCAAACCCAGAAATACTGGTTTTACATACCCTTGAAGGTAAATAAAGATTTCTAGTTATATAGATAGCTAAAATCAAGAGTGACTATTTGCTTGCTGTCTACCCCACCAAATGCCTATGTATATTCATCACAGGCTGTAGCTTAGCTGCACTTTAGTAGAGAGAAGCATTAAATGAATGGTCAGAACATGGTAGAAGCCTCATTCACCTGAAGAGGCAGTCATCATTCAGTCCAGTGTATTTAATAGTTTTTAAGTTTTATGAGCCAAAAAATATCTATAAAATGGACAGGCCAGGGATTTAGCTCAGTGCCTTGCAAACTCAAGGACCTGAGTTCAATCCCCAGTACCAAAAAAAAAAAAAAACAAAAAAAAAACAGATAGAACTAAATCAACATTATTATAGAAAAAGTAGGACAAAGTAATTGTCTCTATGCCTGACACAAAGTGCTCAAAATATTGTAGTGATTGTTATTATTATTGTTGTACTTCTCTAAAGATGTATTAAAAGAATTAATTTAGGTTGTCCTTTGTCTTTAGATTGGGATTTGGACTAGTGGACCAGTTTTTATTTTATCGGTTATTTACATATTAAGGGTCTGTCTAAGGTTTCTTTTGAAAAAAGGGAGGGTAGTGAAACTTGCAGGCAGATCACTATGTGATGGTATACACACACACACACACACACACACACACACGCACGCACGCACGCATGCACTCACGCACGCCACCAGATCACTATGTGATGGTACATACACACAAACACACACATGCTGCCACTGCCAAGTGTGAGCGGTTGCCCTGTAACTGGAAGTGATCATATGATGGGAACCACCTTGTCTCATAAAGCAGTAGAGACTTCCCCTGAGCCAGCAGAATCTCATGGAACCAACAGACCTGAAATAGTGATCATCAAGGCCATAGTTTAACCAAAACTGCTGCATACTTCTTGTCTCCCCTGCACACAACTTTTGTGTTCCTGTATAATCTTAGAGCCTTTGTTAGTATCCCTGGGAAACAGGGCTGAGGATACACTGATATTCTATATTTTCTGAGGGTAAGAGTACAAAACTCCAGTAGAGGATAGTAGACATATAATATAATTTCCACAGTAGTTAAGTTGGCCTGAATCCAAATTCTAGGTTGTCACTTATTAGTTATTTGAATTTGGGTGAGCCTTTATATTTCTCAGTGTCTCAGTTTTTTTTATCTGTAAAAGGGAAAAAAATAAATTACCTACCTGTTATGAAGATTATGTAAGTTCACATAACTAAAGCACTTTGCCACATAGGAAGTGCTCTGCAAGTCTTCCAGCAGTGTTGGTTAATGTTCTCTGTATACCAACATGCTAACTGGAGTAAAACATCACTTAAGTAGGAGAGTCTCTATGGTCAGAAATAAATGGTTGTATTCTTAAACATCAGAAATAAGGGCCAGGGATTTAGCTCAGTGGTTCCACCGCCTGTGTTGCAAGTGCAAGGTACTGAGTTCGATCCCTGGTACAAAAAAAAAAAAAAAAAAGAAAGAAATACTATATTTAAAATTGTGTTCCCCAGAAGTAAAAATTTCTAAAAATGCAATTTGCAGTTGTTAACTGTGTTGTTTTTTAACATTTATAAAGATACTTTTCTTCTCTCGATTAATGTGTTCAATGAGTAAATAGTACTAGAGATACAATTTCAAAACTACAGTGATTTCCACTATTTTATTTTACATAAAAATACTTAATCTCTTTCAATATAATTTGGTTTCAGACTTTGATACAGAATGCTTCCTTACACTTTTCATGAGTCATTTTGAAGGGAAAATATGATGCATGTGCCTTAATCTCAGCAGTTATGGGGTTGAGTGTATAGTATTAACATAATGAAACTATACTTAAATCTTTTCTCTGGATGAATGGAAGCCTGGCCTCCTCTGAAACTGCTTCTTCTCCCAGTCAGATCTTCTGAGAAGAAGACTTGTTATATGACATGATGGGGGCAGCACCCAGGCTTTATGTTTGGCTGTCCCTTAAGTAATATCTGTTATTTTAGTGGCACCATTTCTACGAAAAGTGAGAACCTTTAAAAACGACTCCTGGGGCCGGGGATTTGGCTCAGCGGTTTGGTGGCCTGCCTTGCAAGCGCAAGGACCCAAGTTCAATCCCTGGTACCAAAAAAAAAAAAAAAAAAACGACTCCTGGTATGACTGTGTCTTGATTGGTTTACATTGTTAATGTAATGCAGTTCAGTATCTACTGAATCGCCCTCTCCCCCAGTACTGAGGATTGAATCCAGGGCCTTTGCACTAAGGTACATCCTCAGCCCTTTTTTTTTTTTTTTTTTTTTTTTTTTTTTTTTTTGTACCAGGGATTGAACTCAGGTCCAGGCCACGAAACCGCTGAGCTAAATCCCCAGCCCTAGCCCTTTTTATTTTTTTATTTTGAGGCAGGGTCTTACTGAGTCTCTCAGGTGCTCAGACTGGGTTCAGAGCTGCTGTCATCCTGCCTTGGCCTCCCAGAGTGCTGGGATAACAGGCCTATGCCACCATGCTGGCTCTTGCTCAGCTCCTATTATATCTGTAGTCCAGATAAGGAGTGTGCTACTGCTGAGGGATAGAGAATAAAAACTATGATCTGTCCACCTAAGCAAATTATAGTCCCTTAATGTAATCAAAGAAAACACTATATAGGAGTCTACCCACCTATCAGCTGTGAGGCTTTGAGCAGATCATTTAAAATCTGTGAAATAGGAAGAAAAGAGGCAAAGCGGAAGGGGAAATGGGAGGGATAGGGTAAAGGAAAGAAGGGAATGGAATAATATGAGAAAATGGAAAAATGGAAACAAAGTCTTTGTAAATAGGGAGGGAGGGCACGGGGATTGGGGAAAAAGTAAGAACCAAGATGGATTATGCAAAGGTGCAGATTTCTAAAGATGAATGTCATTATATTGTATACCTTAAATATACCAATAAAATTAATTTTAAAAATATTTAATTATCTATAAAATAAGGATAGAAATTATTTATAAATTGTTAATTAAAATTAGGTAATATATATGAAAGTACTTTGAAAACCATGAAAAATATTATATAAATATAAAAGATTAATGTTGACATAATCATTTGTTATCAGGAGAAACTAAATATATTTAGAACTGCACAATATGAGAGCCAGTGTGTAAGTATTAAAGAAGTGTTGCTGAGCTGGGCGTGGTGGTGCACACCTGTAATCCCAGCACTCGGGAGGCTGAGGCAGGATGATCGCTATGAATTCGAGACCAGCCAGGGCTACATAGTGAGTTCCAGATCAATCTCAACTACATAGTGACACCCTGTCTCAAAAAACAAATAAAAAACTACATAGTGAGACCCTGTCTCAAAAAACCAAAAATAAAAAAAAAGTGCTGCTGAACATGTGGAAACAGCAAGAGATTTCAGTGTACTAGCACAAACCAGGTGGTAACCTACCCAACAGTCTGACCTCAAGCTGCCCCTTGAAAATGGGTGAAGATTTAGAGAGATAAAAGAATAACTTGAGCAAAGAAATGGAGCTTAAACTGAGTTCATCTTGCTCTAGACACACTAAAAAGACTGGTGGGAAATAGAGTAAAATTCTGAACACTTAGCTGGGTGCAGTGGTGCATGCGTGTAATCTGAGCACTCTGGAGGCTGAAGTAAGAGGATCAGACCAGCCTGAACTACATAGCAAGACCTGGTCTCAAAAACAATAACAAATTTGAACACTTGATAAGAATATAAATTTTACTTTTTGAAGTGGATCATTCAGTGATTCACTCAACTCCCAAAGTTGTGCATTGGTCACCTCTGCCTAACTTTTCATTTTCATTACCCGTTTGCCATCATTCCCATTCCTCCTCATCTTAGCCACTGGCAAGCATAAGTTTACCTTCTGTCTTAAGAAGTAGGCTATTCTGGACATTTAATCTTTTTAAAAAATCTTTCAGTATTTAGCCCTTTTTGTCTGGCTTGTTTCACTTGGAATATTTTCAGGGTTCATCCATGTTGTAGCCTGAATCAAAACTGTTGTTTTTAGGACTGAATATTCCTTTATATGAATATATCACATTTTGCTTATCCATTCATCAACAGATCAACATTTAGGTTGCTTTCACCTTTTTGATGTTAGGAATAATTCTGCTGTAAGCATTTGCATGTAGACACAAGTTTTAGGTTCTCTAGGGTATCTAATATACCTCCTAGTGGAATTTCTGAGTTATATGCTAATTCTGTTTAGCTGTTTGAGGAACCACTAAATTCTTTCCAAAGTTACTATAGCATTTATATTCCCTCCAGATATGAATGAGTCCCAATTTCTGTACATCTTTACCAACACTTGTTTTTGTCTGTCTTTTTTAGAATAGCTCTCCTATTAAGTGTGAGGTGACATTTTACTGTCGTTTTTAATTTGCATTTCCCTAGGGGCTAATGATAGTAAAACTCTTGAATGTGTGTGCTTGTTCCCCCATTAAGTATTCATTAAGCCCCTTCCCTGCTTTCCATTTCATACCACTGATCATAAATGTATTACTTTTGTGAATTAGAGTAAACATCAGACAGCATCTTAATGTTTTGTTTTCTTTCTTTCTCTTTTTTCACCCCTAGTTCTGGGAATTGACCTCAGGACCTTGTGCTGTCAGGCATGTAAGGCACCACTGAGCTACATTCCTGGCCCAGCATCTTAATTTTTGTGGGTTTTGTTTTGGTTTTTTTTTTTTTTTTCTGTACTGGGGATGGAACTCGGGACCTTGTGTTTGGGAGGCAGGTGCAGTGCCACAGCTAAATCTCCAGCCCAAGCATCTTAATGTTTTAAAGTACAGAATTCAAATGAAGGTTATTGCCAAATTAATTTAAAATGCAAATTAACATTGACCTTGTAATTGACCATTTATTTTTGGCAGGTGTGTATGTGTGTGTTTTGAGACAGGGTCTCACTTTGTAGTCCAGGCTGGCCTTGAACTCACTGTGTAACCTAGGCTAGCCTCAAACTCACAGTGATCCTCCTATCTCAGCCTCTCAAGTGCTGGGATTACAGACATGTGCCACCCCACCTGGGTGTAATTGAATTTTTCTTAAATATGTGTGCATCAACTTAAAAGCCATATTTTTAAAAGGTTTTCTATGGTATGTTCAAATTGCATTTAGAGTTAATACTACCTCTTTTTTTTTTTTTCAGGTTTACTATATTACGCAGGACATGGTTATGAAAATTTCGGGAACAGCTTTATGGTCCCTGTTGATGCTCCAAATCCATATAGGTCTGAAAATTGTCTTTGTGTGCAAAATATACTGAAGTTGATGCAAGAAAAAGAAACTGGACTCAATGTGTTCTTGTTGGATATGTGTCGGAAAAGGTAAAACTTCTCATCTTTATTGAACTATTGTTGGAGTTAAATAGTAACTTTGCCAAATGTAAGGCAAACTTTGAAATGCTAAGAACCATTTTAATTTTTGAATTGCTGACTATACATTGAAACTGAAAGAAGAAATCTAAAGGAATATATTTTTCATATATATTTTTAACTCCTTAACAAAAATGAAGAGCTAGGGCTGGGGATTTAGTTCAGTGGCATTGCCCCTGCCTCGCAAGCACAAGGTTGTGAGTTCAATCCCTGGTACCCACCCCCCCAAAAAAATTAAGAACCAAAAAGACATGCATATCTGCTCATACTGCATGGAATCAATTCTCCAGAATGCCTGTGCATGTCTCTAACACTCACTGTATTTATCCTTCAGTAATGAAAAAGCCACACCCATAAGACATGGTTTGTCACTAGTCAGTCCTGGTCTTGAAATACATAGCTAAAGCAGATAGTTGAAGGTTTAGATTCCATTAGTTTGTCATTGAATCACAATGGAACAGAATCAATGATTATTCCTCCAGGATTTCTATTTTTTGCATGCTTAGCATTTACCAATCAAAATCCAATGCTAGCATTCATATGCTGCTCCAGTTTTAAAACTGACAAAAGGAAGGATATGACTGTCTGCCTTTTTTTTTTTTTTTTTTTTTTTTTTTTGGTACTGGGGATCGAACTTGGGTCCTTATGCTTGCGAGGCAGGCAACAGAACCACTGAGCTAAATCCCCGGCCCTCATCTGCCTTTTTTAATAGTGCAGAAACCTCAGGTTTTATTTTTGTAAATATGTAGCTGACTAAATGAAAGATTTTGAATCTGTCATTTTAAACAAAAATAGTTTTTTATTGTAGTATTTATATTCTTAGATAATGCTGTTTACATATTTGCTCTGCCCTTCTCTCCTTCCCCTGCTTTTAAATAGAAATGACTATGATGATACCATTCCAATCTTGGATGCACTAAAAGTCACCGCCAATATCGTGTTTGGATATGCCACGTAAGGATACTTTATGTTTGTGCTGAGACTCCTATTTTTTGATGCCTTCTTTTTGACTGGATGTTAGAAATCTAGATGTATCCATGGACAGGTATAAATTTGCCTCCTCAGCTTTAACATAACTGACTTTAAGCACTTCATGACTTGTTATCTTATCACTAAGCACCAAGGAGTTATTTCCTGCTGGAGGATTAACTGTTAGAGGACAGAATGAGGCTCAACAGTATGTATGTATACCCTATGTGGCAGGTGTTTGCTGCTTCACCTTTTTCTTTCTTTTTAAATTTATTTTTTATTGTATATTGACTAATTAAATTGTATATATTAATGGAGTACAAAATGATGCTGTGATATATGTATACAATATGAGATGACTGAATCAAGATAATCACCCCAGATATTTACAACTTACTCCTCCTGTCTAAAAAAAGCATTTTGCCCTTGGACCAGCATTTCCCTGTTTCCCTCACTTGCCAGCCTCCGAGAACCACCATTCTCCATTCTGCTTCTATGTATGTCATTTTTTTAGCTTCCATGTATAAGTAAAAATATGTGATGTTTGTCTTTCTGTGCCTGTCTTATTTCACTTACTTCTTTTGGTGTTTTTAAGGTGTCAAGGAGCAGAAGCTTTTGAAATCCAACATTCTGGATTGGCAAATGGAATCTTCATGAAATTTTTAAAAGATAGATTACTTGAAGACAAGAAAATTACTGTGTTACTAGATGAAGTTGCAGAAGGTAAATTTTTTAAGAGTAAACTACTAAGGAAAAAGAACAGGAAAAAAACCTAATCATGGCTCCCTGCATATTACTTATTTGGTTCCAACTGTTATTTGTTTATGAAATTGGTATTTATTTTATAAAACAATTTGTAGTGTAATATTTGACAACATTTCTACTATCTGTTTCCTTCCTTCCCTGTTGACGTAGCTGCATGTCTTGAGTGCAACATCACTTGCACACCAGGCTAACCCCAGTTCAAGTGATAAAGTAAAGTTTAATCCTCAGAGCTTTGCCTTGTTTCTATGCCTAGGGCTTTGGTGCTGCTCAGTTTTCTTGTCTGATAAAGAAGAAAAAGTAGTGTTATATACAATGAGCTGTCTCTCCCACCTTTAGAGAGACAAAACTACAGAAGTACCATCTACTGGATATAACACGTCTTTCTTTTCTTAATGAACTTAGTTTTTAAAAATCCTTCTTTAAGGATGAGCTGTAGAGTTCTAATGCCATGTCTCTCGGGTTTGTCCTTCTGTCCTCTCCTCTCCCTGCTGGTGCAATACTAATGCTTATGTCAGGTGCTAAATATATGCCTATTAACATCAGTAGATTTCAGTGTGTTTCTGAAATGCCTTTCTATAAGCCAAGCAAAAAGAGAATATAACATGTTTGCAAACTAGCACCACTAAAAAATAGAGTTTCATGAATATTCCAGAGATGGCAGTTTGAAAATAGTGTTTCACTAAGCAGCTATCAGTCACATTTTTTTCATGTTTTTATCAGTGTAGATATTTTATGTAGACTACATGATTATACCACTTAACATAGCCTGCCAGGGCTTTAGACTTCCTCCCACCCTCCAGCTTCAGCCAGAAAAGTTCTGCTTTTTTCTGTCTTGCATATTGAGCTTCCCTTAAGCTCTCATTTGAAGAAAAGATCCTGCTGCTTTGCTGTGAGTTCGAGACCAGCCTGGGCTACATAGAGTTCAATTTCAGACTCAACTACATAGTGAGACCCTGTCTCACCAAAAAAAAAAAAAAAAAAAAAAAAAAAGATCCTGTTGATGCTTAAAAAAAAATTAGAACCCTTAGAATTTCATCAGCATTTTCAAACTGAGATCCATTAGGTTGCTCCAAAGTGCTTTGTTCTAGTTTTTTGTTTGTCTGTTTTTGTTTGTACCAGGGATCAAACTCATGACCTTGCACTTACTAGGCAGGCAACAGCACCACTGAGTTAAATCCATCTGGTTTCATTTTTAAAATACATTTTTACTGTTTTAAAACTTAATAAAAAGCACTATGCTGATCAAAGAGTGGTATTTATCAAATTCCCACAAATGACATCCTAGCATGTGCTGTGAGTATGTTTGAAATTCTTATAAACTTCTTAGGCAAGTTTGCCCTTCACTACCTCACCCATAGTGGCTCAGATACAAAGCACTCAAAATCTCACAATAAGTGCTAACTTTAACTATAATGTATTATCATGCTCTTTCTAGGCCTTATTCTGTACACTTAATTGGCCATTACTCATATTACCCATGGTGGGAACAATGTGCATGGCACTAAAACAAGTGTATTACTTTATACTGTAGTCTGTTCTTGACTGGATAATTTAAATTAAGTAGACATGACAGGCCTGAAAAAGATCAGTGAAAAGCAAAACTTGCCTAAGAAGTTCACAAGTAATTCCAACTTTGAAATAAAACTTTCCTGCTCCTCCCTTAGATCATCTAGGTTAATTAATTTTAAAATATTCAGAGGTATAAGAGGTGTTTCAGAGATCATAGGCCAAGCTCTTGAAGAGAAAGAACATCTAGTTTCAATTGTATGCAGGCAAATCAAAATGAAATTGGTTGCTGACATAAAGCTTCAGTCAGTAGCCACAGAATTTTGTTTTTGTACTATTCAAGATAGCCTTATTAAGTTGATTGAAATTTCAAAATAATGCTCACTAAGCTAGTTTGTCAGGTGGTTTTTAAGTACCTGAAATCATCTTGCTATATAAATGCCAAGAACTGCTAGAAAAAAAAGTCATTTAATTGATAGGTTAATTATTTTTAATAATATAAGTACCTATGAGCATATTTCTGAATTTTTTGTGAATAGATGTACGTTATGAATCTGGACCTTGACAGTAGCCTACATCCAATTACATGTTTCCCTTTTTTCCCTGCCCCCCTTCTATGGTAGCTACCATTCTAAATTTTATCATTTCCTCAATCTTCTTACATAGTTTTATTGATTGCTCATATGTTCCAAAAACATGTATGTTTTCATAGCTTGTTTTTAACTTCATAAAAAGATAATATGCCTTGCAGTCTCTTGGGACTTGAATTTTTCAATTAGTATTATATTCCTAAGATTGATCTTACTGTATGATTATAGTTCATTCATTGTTATTGACCATGATATTCTACTGTACAAAAATACTGCAATATTCTCCTGTTGAGCATTTGAATTATTTTTGCTACCGTGAACAGTACTGTTGTAACATTCTTGTATAAGTAAGTCTCCTGGAGTGTGCACGCAAGAATCTCTGGAGTATAACTTTGGCTTTGCAGTTACTAGATTGAAGTGTATGCCAGTGTTCAGTTGCAAGAATAGTGCCAAAACTGTTTTATAAGGTGATTGCACCAGTCTACACATACCCTTCTCCCCACCAGTAATACAAGGCATAACTCTAACACTTGACAGGTCAGACTTTCATTTTTACCAAATGATTGTAAATGATATCTCATTTGTTTTTTCCTGAACATTAGTGATATTGAACACCTCATATTTTCAGTGGCCATATTTGTTTTAGGAGAAAAATGTATCCGTGTATTTTGTCCATATTTCTGCAGTGTCGTTTTTGGTATCAGCTTAATGCTGGCTTTGTAGAATGAGTTGGATGTTGTGATGGTTAATTTTATATCAGCCCAACTGGGCCTCGGTGCCAAGATATTTAGTCCAACATTACTCAGAATGTTTCTAGATGTTTGATCCAACATTATTCTGAGTAAAACATAAATTGGTGGACTTTCGGTAAGAAGATACTGCTATAATTTGGGTAGGCCTCCTGCAGTTAGTTGAAGACTTACTAACAAACCTGATGTCACCAAAGCTAGGAGGAATCAACTAGCAGATTGCATTGAGACTCAAACTGTCCCCAGCCAGTCCACCTATCCTGCAGATTTTACTTTTTTTTTTCTTTGTTTTGTATTGTTTTGGTACTGGGAATTGAATTCAGTGCCTCACATTGCCAGACAGGCACTGCACTGCTGAGCTACATTCACGGCCCTGTTTTGTTTTTTTTTTTTTTAGGTAGGGACTCACTGTGTAGTAGTTCAAGCCAGCCTTGAACTCATTGTGTAGCTCACGCTGGCCTTGAACTTGCTACAGCACTCTTGCCTCAGCCTCCTGGGTGCTGGGATTATAGGCATATGCCACCGTAGCTGCATGAGCTATTTCCTTTAAATAAATCAACTTCTACTGCCCCCTCTTTATGTACACACACACACCACAGATACATATTCACCATACGTCTTGTTGCTAACCATTTCTCTGGCAATCTTATTTCCATGATATTCCTTCTTGTTTCCTGGGAAATTTTGTATAAAACTGTGATGATCTCCTGAAGATTTTGGTAGTACTCTTTTGAAAATCAGTGTGCTACTGGTATTTTCTTGGTACACTACTACTTTTTCAAAATTGTAAATATTTCTTATACTATTTAGGCTTTTTATTTGTTTCTTGAGGTAATTTTGATAGTATATTTTCCTGCAAATTTTGGCAGTTTTCAAAATTGTTGGAATTTACTTGCTGAATATTGTTTTTCCCAGTATAATTAATCTGTGCATTGTCTGTAGTAACATACTCTTTTCATCATTATTACTTATTTGTGCCAACTTTTTTGTATTTTCTTGATAAGTCTTGCCAGATTTTGTCAGTTGGCTATTTCTTTTAAAAAAAAAACCTACCTTTGGCTCTACTGATTTCCTCTTTTTTGTTGTCTTCTATAACATTCATTTCTGCTCTTTATGTCTGACTTGCTTTTTTTGATTTTATTCTGTTGTTATTTCTAACACAAAAATAGTTGTATAGTGATGCCTCTCATATTATACTTTTTCTGTTTGAGTTTTTTTTGTTTTATTTTTTGTTTCTTTTCTGGTACCGGCGATTGAACTCAGGATCTTGTGCTTGCCAGGTAGATGCAGCACCACTGAGCTACATTCCTGGCCCCTAAACCATCTAATTTTTTAAATTGCCTCATTTTTCTTTTTAATCTTTTTCAAAATTATTTCTGGGGCCGGTGATTTAGCTCAGTGGTTACACCACCTACCTTGCAAGCGCAAGGTACAGAATTTGATCCCCAGTACCAAAAAATAAAAATAAAATAAAAATTTTTTAAATTATTTCTATGTTTTCTATCCTCTAACAACTAATAATAATTTCAGCATATATTTGCCATCTTTGGTTTCCCCACCTATCCCTGACAGGTTGGTGTAATTTAGACTTAATTCTGAATTGCTTTTTGGTTTTTTGGTGTGTGTGTGTGTCTGTTCATATGTATGTGTACCTATGTGTGAGTATTCAAAGAAAAACTGTTGAAAAACCTTAACACAATCTGTAATCGTGTGTGTATGTGTATGTGTGGTATGTGCATAAAAGGGATGAAATTTTAGTTTTATTCATTTTCACCCCAGTTGAGTAACTTGCCTTCTCAAGAGCAGCTATTATTAACTTTGTTTACTAATTTATTTATTTACTGGTTGCCCAGGCTGCTTTCCAATTCACGAACTCAAGAGATCCTCCTGTCTCACCCTCCCAAGTAGCTGGGATTACAGGCATTTACCACTACTCTGTACTCAACTTTGTTATTAATAATTAGTAGCATAGTATATAGAACTAAGGTAAACTGTAATTTATTCATACAAATATCTGATAGAGTTTTAAATCTAAGTTGATGTTTATCAGTATACAAAAATCTCTATCTCCCAGCCCCTTATTTCCTGTTTTAGCAATAGAGATATCTTAGGTGTGCTGGGGCACAGTGCTGGTACACCTGTATCCCAGATACTCAGAAGACTGAGGCAGTGGGATCAGAAGTTCAAAGCCAGCCTGGGCAGCTTGGTAATACCTTTTTCAAAAACAAAAATCTTTTTAAGTGCTGGTAAAATAGCTCAGTGGTAGAGTGCTTGCCGACTCTCCCACCAGTACCACACCAAAACAAAGTATCATGTAAATTTGGCTGTGGCTGTTATTTCAACTTTTCTCATATATATGTAGTCCTCTGTTTTTCTAACAGAATGTACTTCTCCAGAGGGTAAGGACATAAAAGGATCATGGCTGCTCTTTTAGAAAAGAAATGCATTTCCAGCTCTTTAGAACTAGTCTAATATTTTTATATTTGCTCACTATTATATCCCCAACACCTTGAACTGTGCCTGACACATACGGGTGCTCAGTGAAATATTTGTTGAGTGAATTGGTCATATTGAAAATAAAACGTGATTTCTAAGAAAGTTTTTGACCTAAAAATTTAAAATATAACAGAAGGGTTGGTGGTCTTAAAAATAATATTTACTTATTTTTTAGATATGGGCAAATGTCACCTTACCAAAGGTAAACAGGCTCTGGAGATTCGAAGCAGTTTGTCTGAAAAGAGAGCACTCACTGATCCAATTCAAGGGACGGCTTCTTCTGCAGAGTCTCTGGTGCGGAATCTGCAGTGGGCCAAGGCTCATGGTATGGTAGATTTCTTATGAGATCTTTTTCTGCACATATTTTAATTCATGAAGTTTTTTCTTGTGACTAAATACTTTCTTCCAAATTTTATACTGAACAGTTATTTGGCCCATTAGCAAATCTAAAACTAAACAAATGTTTTAATTATAGACATTGCACATTTAATTATAGATATTACACTGACTTATTTGCTGGTAGAGCTATCAAGTTATTTAGCCCATTGCTTTTATCACTGATAAAATTTAAATGATCATGTTTAATTCTTCTGTTTTTAAAATGAGTTAACTTTGTATCTGGCTAACATGCAGTCGTTAACTTCTGTGATCTTACATGTTGAAGCAGATGTCCAGTGTCACACAGGCCAAGATTTTCACCCAGTCTCTATAGCTGGAGAAACATGTTGCTATAAATGGTGGATAAGCCATAGTCCCCACTGCATAAGTTAGTGAGATCACATGAAGACCACCTGAGAAACAAGCATGGCTCGTAAATACCGATGGCGTCCGCTCTATGACACTAGATCAGTGGGTGGAGTGACAAAGAAAAGATGATCTGTAGCTTAATTACCTTTCAGAAATTTGGTAATTCTGATTTAGTGAAAAATAAGTTTATTCACTATGAAATATTTAGGATTTTCTTTGAGTCCTAAGTATTCTGTGAGTCTCTTACTAGAGATAATTGGAAAATAATTGTATTTCTCGAACCACTATCAAATATCTTTTCATAATATTTTTTTAATCTAAGATATATTTTTGTTAAATTAACATATTAGAGCACTTTGAAACGTAAAGTGCTAGAAATACATTATCTTGATGTTCCAGGTAATAGCATAAGTATTTGAAATTGAGTTTCTTATCCACAAAAAAAGTAAATGACAACAGGAACAAAATTACAGTGGTAAAGATCAACAGTAAGCAAAGTCTTTTATAAAATGAAAATAAAAGCTTATGTAGAAGGTATTTGTAACAAATCTAATAGATTTTTTTTACATGGTAAAGAATTGATATAAAATAAGAAAACATTAAGACCTCTTGGTCAATGAATAAGTAAGTGGTGTAAGTTCAACAGTCCTCACAGTTAGATTGAATTAAGAATAAATGTAGAAAATGGCAAATGTAAATAGTTATTAAAGAAAATTCTTAGTATATTTTAGTCCATCAAATAAACATTTTAAAAATTAATAAAACCCCATTTGCATCTAAATTGAAAAGTTTGTCCTGTAAAGAACCATCAAATAGCTATCTTCAACAGTGCTAAAGCATTAAATATTTGACATTAATTGTGATAGAACATGGTAAAATCCAGAAATATTATAGATATTCAAGAGTAGAAGAATTCTTACAGGCAACAAGAACTATAGTGATAATATGTTTGATTAAAAATTCTTGTTGTGGTACTAGGGTGTAGCTCCATGGTAGAGCATTTGCCCAGCATGCAATAAACCCTGAGTTCCATGTTCAGCACTGAAAAAAATCTTATCATGAAAACTAAAGCATCAGTTAAAATGTATCTGCAATTATATGTATACTTTTAATTACCATTATGAAAATTAAATGTACAGGTGGATGAACTGTAGTAAATGAAAAATTTGGTTTGGTTGGCCAGCACAGTAAGTTTTTTTGTTTTATTGTGTGTATGTTTAAAAAATAATAATGGTTGTGGAGAGCTGGGCATGGTGGAGCACTCCTGTAATCCCAGCACTTGGGAGGCTGAGGCAGAAGGATCACTGTGAGTTTGAGACCAAGCTGGGCTACATAGTGAGTTCCAGTTCAACTACATAGTGAGATCCTGTCTCAAAAAATAATAATAATAATAATGGTTGTGTAATATTTTTAAGTAAAAAAAAATGCTCCAACTATATTCTGCCCTATGTAGAATATTTGATATTTATCAGAAAGCTTAGCACTCTTTAAATAATGTTTTCTAAGTTCTTACTGGTTTGTTTGTTTTTTCTTCCAGAACTTCCAGAAAGCATGTGTCTTAAATTTCAGTGTGGTGTTCAGATTCAGTTAGGATTTGCAGCTGAATTTTCCAACGTCATGATAATCTATACAAGTATAGTCCATAAACCACCTGAGATAATAATGTGTGATGCCTACGTTACTGATTTCCCACTTGTAAGTCTCTCTTTTTTATTTAAGTTACAGTGATATATTCTCACTATTAAAGCCTAAACTTTTGAGCTGAGGATGTAGCTCAGTGGTAACGTGTAAGGCCCTGGATTCAGTCCCCACCACTACCAAAAAGTCACTTCAATACTAAACTTTTAAAAACTTAAATATGATGGTAAATATGAAGAAAATATATTTATATGAGTTTATAAGTAACACTGTCATAGTGCTTAAAAATTGTCAAGATACTTTAAGTTTGTCAAATTTGGAAATGTCTGAGTTCACTCAGAAAGGATGCCTTTAATTTCTCATGTCCTATAAAGGATATCAAATATGAAAGAATAAAATATGCTGTACATAAGTAAAGAATGTTTCCAGTATCTTATTGGGACAGCACAAGACTTGTCAAGTTATGATAGTATGAGTATATTGGAAGAAAAGAATTCTAGTTCTGTTCTTTCCAAACATTTAGTTACAATATTTATTTTTGTTTTGTTCTAAATAAACAATGCCCCCATTTCCTACCATAAATGAGAAAGATTGAGAAGTAAGCAAGGAGAAACAAAGCAAAAATGTTTTTATACTTGTGGAGGCTTTATGGAGGCCATTGCTTCATGTGAGAGCAGGTGATGTTGCACAGAACTTCAGAACTAGTGCCCCTGCCACAGGGTGGGCCTCTCTGCTGCTGGGCCCAGGCAGAGCATGGGCTTGCTATGAGGAGCCAAGCCCCTCCTGTCTTTCACCCATGAACAAAAAAGGCATCATTCATTCTTCCTCGTTATTCTAAACATATGAATCCCCCTGCATCCTCCCAGCGTGATGGTAAAGAGGGAGATAATCCAGGGGGCAAGCATTAGTGGGGTTCTCTCCAAGCTTGAGTATGGTAAGATGTGTTTAGAGGAATATTTTGAAAGAAACTATCCTTTCAGAGCCAACTCTGTGTGTGTGTGTGTGTGTGTGTGTGTGTGTGTGTGTGTGTTAGTGTGTTTTAGAGAGACAGAGAAAGAGAGAGTGTTACCAGGGTGTCAGTACTATCTCTTTTTATTTTTTATTTTGAACCAGTCTTGCCTAGGCTGGCCTTTAACTTGGAATCTTCCTGCCTCATCCTCCCACATAGCTGGGATTACAAGTGTGTGCCACTGTGCCTAACTTTACCTTTTAAAAATACTTGTATAGAATCTCAAATTCTTAAAACCATAGAACATTGTTTTTATTGTTTTTTCAGTCCTGGATAAGGATCTACCTACTCAAGCCAAATTCTTGAGAGAGTTATACTTGTCTGGATATTTCATGCCACAAACTATATTGTAAGTTTCAGTGATTTCATTAAAACATTCAGATTTCTTCCCCACAGGACCTAGATATTGACCCAAAAGATGCAAATAAAGGAACTCCTGAAGAAACTGGCAGCTACTTAGTATCGAAGGAGCTGCCCAAGCACTGCCTCTACACAAGACTCAGCTCTCTGCAAAAATTAAAGGTGACTCTTTTTCCTATTTATAGTTATTAATAAAAAATGGCCTAGCTGGGCGAGGTGGCTCATGCCTGTTATCCGAGCACTCGGGAGGCAGAGGCAGGAGGATTGCCGCAAGTTCGAGGCCAACCTGAGCTACATAGGGAGTTCAGAGCCAACCTGAACTATAAAGTGAGACCCTGTCTCAAAAAAACCAAAAAAAATAAAATAAAATGTCTGAAACTGAAAATTCTCTAGCATAGTTCATTAATACTCTGATTTTTTTTGTATATTGAAGTAGAGAACCCAATCTAGTAGATCTTCTCGGTGACCATTTTCATATTACACAGCTGTGTTGGGCTAGGGATTTAGCTCAGTGGCACCGCACCTGCCTTGCAAGCACAAGGTCTGAATTCGATTCCCATAGCAGAAATAAATTAATTAATTGATTTAAAAAAAACAGTGGTACCTCAGTTCACAAATGCTTTTGTTTGCAAACAGTTTTGGTTCACAAAAAGAATCATTTAACACAATTTTGCTGTTGTTTGCTAACTCGGCATCAGGTGATGAACACAACCATAGCCATTTTTGCTGCACAAACATGAACACAAACGTGGCCATTTTTTCCAGAATCATGGAACGAATTAAGTTCTTGAACCAAGGTACCACTGTATTTTATCCTTGATGGAGGCCTGAGGACCTTTGTGTGAACATCTATATGCTTACTCTCCATACAGTTGAGAAGTTAGCAACATAAAACATATTCTACCTCTAAATATCTTATAATCACTACTTCTGTGACTTTCTATAAAATATATAAATTAGAATTGAAATATCTTTTTAATCTCTTTCATTTCTACTTGATTTACAAATGAGAAGTTAGCTTTAGATGGTTAAGCATGCCCTTGCAAAAACTGAGTTTTTAGCCAGGTGTGGTGGAGCACTCCTATAATCCCAGCACTTGGGAGGCTGAGGCTGGAGGATCTCTGTGAGTTTGAGACCAGCCTGAGTTACATAGTGAGTTTCAGGTCAATCTCAACTATATAGTGAGACCCCATCTCAAAAAACAAAAAAAAACTGAGTTTTTAATCTGTTCATAGCTGAATACCATAGTATGTCTCCGGTAAAATTTGGGGAGTAGAATGGGCACTTGCCACTTAAATGAAGGCAGCAAGCATACACCTACTATCACCTGTTCATACCCATTCTACTTAAAGTCATCTCTTAGCTGGGCGTGATGGCACATGCCTGTAATCCTAGCACTCAGTAGCCAGGGATTTAGCTCAGTGGTTGCATTGCTTGCCTTGCAAGCACAAGGGCCTTGAGTTCAATCTCTGGTACAAAAAAAAAAAAAAAAATCCCAGCACTTGGGAAGCCGAGACAGGAAGATTGCTGTGAGTTCAGAGCAGTCTGGGCTACATAGTGAGTTCTAGGTCAGTCTCAACTACATAGTGAGACCCTGTCTCAATAAATAAATAAATAAATAGTCATCTTTAAGTTATATTTTTCTCTTATGATTCTGGATTATTAATTGATAATATTTTTAAATAGCTTTTTTTTTTTCCTGGTACCTGGGATAGAACTTGGGACCTTGTGCTTGCAAAGCAGACAGCGGAACCACTGAGCTAATTCCCTGTCCGCAACAGCTTACATTTTTTATATAGGCCTAAAACCAAATTTTTTTTTTCAGTATATGTTGCAAGATGTAGTAATTACATTCATCTTGGGGAATTGGTACATATATATTATTTTTACATTAAAGGACAATTCCCATCTCTGATAATAGGGAAAGATAAGGAGCCAGAAATGTGATATAAGATCTGTGTGATTTTAATTAGTTAGCAGAGTAAGAACTGGAATTCTACTCAGCTCCTAAGTGTTGAATGAAAGAAAAGGAAGCTAATTGTAGCTGGCCTTTTTCCATTTAGGGGGATGGGGAAAGATGCCTAGGAAATGGGGCTGAGTAGGTTTGTTAGTGTGTGTAAAAGTGAAATCTGAAGACTTTCACTGTTATAATTGACTGTGAAATAGGAAGAAAAGGGCTAAAGGTGTAGGGGAAGTGGGAAGGGTAGGGGAAAGAAATAAGGAAAAGAAAAAAATCTGACATGAGAAAATGAAAAAATGGAAATAAAGATTTTGTAAATAGAGAAGGGAGGGCCAGGGGTGTGGGGAAAAAATGAGAACCAAGACCTGTCATGTAAAGTACAAGATCCCAATGATGAATGTAACTGTACTGTATACCTAAAAAGTACCAATAAACTCAATGAGGAATAAAAAGACTCACTGTTGATAAAAATGGTGAACCTCATTTCTTTTGCTTTTCAGGAACATCTGATTTTCACAGTGTGTTTATCATATCAGTACTCAGGACTGGAGGACACTGTGGAGGAGAAACAAGAAGTGAATGTTGGGAAGCCTCTCATTGCTAAATTAGACATGCACCGAAGTCTGGGCAGGAAGACTTGCTATCAGACATGCCTGATGTCTGATGGGCCTTACCACAGCTCCACACCCACCTCTGGGGGAGCAGGGCATTATCCTTCATCTCAGGACTCATTCCATGATGTCTACCATTCACATCTTGGTAATTCCGAGAGCGTTATGCCATCCGACAGATGTCATTGCAGCCGGACTCCTAATGCATTTATTTCAAGTTATCATACCCACCATTACTCCTGTCGGCTGGCTAGGAGTAACACGCCAGTGGAGACAACCGATGAAATGCCATTCAATTTCTCTGATGGGCTCAGGATTTCTGAAAAGTGACTTTGTTTTTTAAAGTTCCACATAATTACTAGATGCCTCACATGAAATAGTACTTACGTGAAATGAGGCATTATGAAAAGGCAAGTAAGTATATATGAAGAGAAAATTGGTAACAATTGTTTCATAGGCTCAAGACTGAAATAATGGGATTACATTATTTAACCACAGACTTCCTCTTGCTTTTTTTTTTTTTAGACTTGTAAATTGAATGTTTTGTTCTATGAGAATGAAGTACGGATATATGTATATAGGTGTACATAACAAATATTTTTATTTTGCCTACTCTGAAGTGAGAGGAGTGGGAATGGCATTACTGTAGAATAAATCATTGTACTTTTAACATCAGAAGAAATCCTGTTGCTCATCAGGCCTAACCTAGTTTTATTGAGAGAAACAGATTGAGTCCTCTTGTCTAAGTTAGAGCTGGCACAGAACTGAAACCTCTAGAATGCTATTCCAGTAATTTTTCCACTACATACTACCTTCTTAATGGGTTCTGAGACACATTTTATTTTTGACAGGAAGGAAGAAAAGTAGAGGGGGAAATGCATATCTGTGTGTTATCTTGAGTAATGTACAGGCCTTGATTTGTGATTATACCACTTTGGTGCAAGTGTCAATTAAGAGGTTTGTCTATAAATCTTATGTAGAATAGGCTTAAATTTTTTGTTTGAGTCATGAAATTATATGAGGTGATGAAATATTTGTCTATGTTAAAGCTAGACAGCAGAGGTTAAAAATAAAGATGTAACTGGATAGTTTGGATAGCTGCTTATTTGAATCTTTCAGACATTGAAAATGTCTTCCTTGATAACATGTATTTCCTTCTTGAATTTTACAGGTCTTAAGATAAAAAATTCTTATCATTTGTGGTTCTACCTAAAAGCAGACTTAAAAGACATGTGGCAATAAAAAGGGAAATGATTAAATTAGTTTTTAAATGGGTTTAGGAGGTAATATCCTGATTATATTTGGTCCTTGCTAAAAGCAAGTTTAAAGGACAACTCGAAAGCTGGGCTTGTTGGCACATGCCCATAGTCCCAGGACTATAGGGATTTGAGGTATGAGGATGGCAAGTTTGAGCCCAGTATGGGCAACTGAGTGACTTAGTGAGACCCTGTCTCAAAATAAAAAGGAGCTCAGTATGAAGTCCCTATGTTCAGTCTCAGGGCAAGTAGCAGTGGAAAGGCAATTGGCCATAGAAAGGGAAGAGATTGAGTTAGTAATTTTTAAAGTCCCCAAAGAAAAATCCAGACCCAGATGGCTCTACCACTAAATTCTACCAAACATTAAAATTATATCAGCTCTTAGCAAATTACCCCCAAAAGAGGAGAGTATACTTCCCAACTCATCCTGTGAGGTCATTGTTACCAAGATACCAAAATTAGACAAGAAAGCTACACATGTACACAGCTATAATCCTAGCACTTGGGACCTGAGGCAAGAAGATTGGAAGTTTGAGGCCAGCCTGAGCTACATAGTTCAAGGCAAACCTGAACTACATAGGGAGACCCTTTCTCAAAAGAAGATGGGGGTGGGGATTTGGCTCAGTGGTTCTACCACCTGCCTTGTAATCACAAGGGCCCGAGTTCAATCCCCAGTACCAAAAAAAAAAAAAAAAAAAAAAAAAAAAAAAATGGGGGCTTAAGAGGAAAACCATAGACCAATATCCTGCAAAAATCATTAACAGAGTATAAGCAAACTGAATCCAGCAATGTGGGAAAAGGTTTATATACCATAATCAAGTGAAAATTTTCCCAGAAATTAAAAGATTGGTTTAGCATCCAAAAATCATTTAAACTGATGCACACTCATTTCTCATTAATGTTCTCTAAAGTCCCGGGAACACAGTGAGTGAACATGGAGTCATTGCTCCTAGGGGATGAGGTGTGCATATGTGCGCCTGTGCATGAACATCTGTCTCACAGATGAGGGCCTTGAGTCCTAGTAACAACTCATCCTGGCAGATTTGGTGTTTCTTTATTTTACGGAAGTAAAAATGAGGTTTACATGCATGCAGTGATGTGCCCGAGGCTGGAATTCAAACCCAGAACCGGAGCTTCTTGTGCAGCGTTGCACTTCCCCCTTTTCGTCTTCCCCCATCATCTCCACCCCCTCTCTGAGCTGGAGCAAGGAGTTTAGCACTGCTGTGTTAGACCTCAGCTTGGAACATGTGTATTGGGTGATTCAGAATTTTCCCTAGTCTACATACCCACAAATCACTACAAAAGTCCCCAAGTCCTGTGGGGGGGCAGGTGATTTAATAAATTTGTAAATTCCTATTTAATTAATTGTAAATAATATAGGTCCAACTATACCACAGTAATATCGGACAAAACTCCCATAGATTGCTTAATAGATGCAAAAAAACATTTGATAAAATCCAACATCCTTTCATGGTAACAACATTAAACTAGTAATAAAAGGGACCTTCCTCAGCATGTTACAACATCCACACAAAAAAACCATACCAATGGTCATAATGGGGGCAGAGTGCTGAATGTTTTTACCCTTAAGATCAGGAATAAGACCAATAAATGACACTAGGGAGAAGGCAGGTAAAGAGGGGTGGAAGGGGGTGATCAGAAAACATTAACGTACTTGTACAGATCTGCCAAAATGAGGAACATTAATGTGTATAACCAATAAAAGACAAGTTGGGGGAAAAAGATATTCACCCTAACCACTTCTGTTCAGCATTGTACTTGAAGTTTTAGCCAGGGCTTAAAATTTTTAAAAATATATAAAAGCCATTTTATTTTTGGAAAAGAAGTAAAGCTACAGGTTGAACACTCCTATTGCTGGGCTTTCATGGTATCACAACTAGGAAATTGCATACCTGATCTCATACTATTAACAGTCAAAGAGACACTAAAAATATTATGGGAAGTTAGGCTTCAGGCCATGTATACGAAGTATGTGTAAAAAAGTTTTGAGTCGTATCCCGTGCGTCTCATGTATATGCAAATAATCCAGAATCTGAGAAACCTCACAACATGTTGGATAAGTATAACTGGTTTATATATTCACAGATAACATTGTATATAAAAATCATAGAAATTCATTTAAAAACTAATAAGTTCAACAGGTTGTGGGATACAAGATCAACATCAGTTTTGTTTCTATAGTAAAAATGAACATTCAAAAAAAATTTTTTTTTTGAGACAGAGTCTTGTTCTATAGTTCCTTGAGCTCACTATGTAGCCCAGGCTGGGACAATTATCCTACCTTAGCCTCCTAAGTGCTGGGATTACTGGCATTCACCACCATAACCAGCTCCAAAATTCTATTCATATTAACATCAAGAAGTATAAAATGTTGTAACAAATAAGATAAAAATAAAAGGAAAGACATCTAATTTCATGGATTGAAAGACTTGTCATTAATATGGCAATTCTGCCCAAGTTCATTTACTGATTGACCAAAATTCCTGTCAAAATCCCAGACAGATTTTTTGCAAAAATTGGCAAGTTAATAATAAAATACATAAGGGTCCCAGAAAAACCTCCCCCAAAAAATTCAAAAAACAAGATGGGAAGACTTTGTCTCACCAATTTCAAAACTTAAAAAGGGGCGAGGGATTTAGCTCAGCAGTTCAGTGGCCTGCCTTGCAAGTGAAAGGACCCAAGTTCAATCCCCGGTACCAAAAAAGAAAAAGCTATGGTAATCAAGACTATGTAGGTATATGGGTAGATAGGAGTAGAACTGAGAATCCAGAAAAATGCCCTGTACATTTCCTACTTCTTTTCTTTTCTTCTGGTACTAGGGATCGAACTCAGGATCTTGTGCTTGTGAGGCAGGTAGTGGAACCACTGAGCTAAATCCCAGGCCCACGTTTCTGACTTTTACAAGATTCCAGTACCCTTCAGAGAGGAAAGAGGTGTGACAGCTAGTAGTTACATGCAAAATGACTCTTCTACTATTACTGATAAATCTTTTTTTTCTTTAATTGAATTTATTGGTACATTCTAGGTAGACAGTACAGTTGCATTCATTACTGGGATCTTGTACCTTTACATGCCAGGTCTTGGTTCTCATTTTTTCCCCTTGTCCCCAACCTCTCTTCACCCCCTCCTCTCCCCCTCACCTTCAAACACTTTAATTCCATTTTTACATTTTCTCATATTTATTTCCTTTTCCCTTATTCCCCTTTCCCTATCCTTCTCACTGTCCCTACACCTTTGGTCCTTTTCTTCCTATTTCATGTTGCTAATTGTCCCATTAGGATCTTGAGTACTATTTTAGTTTTTCACACCAGAGAAACTATTCAGTATTTGCATATCTGTGACTTATTTATTTCACTTAGGAGTATATCCTCAAAATGTACCCATTTACCTATGAATGAATCTACTTTCTCATTCTTTATGGCTGAGTAGTATTCCATTTTATAGAAAAACCACATCTTCTTTATCTAGTTTTCAACTGATGGGCAGATGGGCTATTTCCAAGTTTTAGCTATTACAAACTGCCGCTATAAACATGGGTGCACGTATATCTCTGTGGTATGATTCTTTTAATTCTTTTGGAAAGATACCCAACAGAGGGATGGCTGAGTCAAATGGAACCTCTAATCCTAGTTCTTTGAGGTATCTCCATATTGATTTCCATAGTGGTTACACCAGTCTGCACTCCCACCAACAATGGAGAAGGATTCCTTTCTCCCCACAACTGCGCCAACATCTGTTACTGTGTGATTTCTTGATAGCAACCATTCTTTGTGGGGTGAGGTGAAATCTCAGTGTTGTTTTCATCTGCATCTCTTCAATGACCAGTGATGTAGAGCACTTTTTCATATATTTACTTGCTGCTTTTATTTCTTTGTCTGGGAAATGTCTGTTCATTTCAGATGCCCATTTTAGAATTGGGTCTTTATATTTGGCGGGGCTGGTTGTTTTGAGTTCTTTATTCTATATAATAGTCCTTTGTCTGGGGAGCAGCTGGTAAAAAGTTTTTCCCACATTGTAGGTTTTCTCTTAGTTCTGTGGATGGTTTCTTTTGCAGTGCAGAAACTTTTTAATAAGATGAGACCCCAGTTGTTGATTCTTTCTGCTAGTTCCTGTGCTACTGAGGATTTGTTCATAAAGTCTTTTCCTATGTCAATGTCTTCCAGAGTTGTGCCTAACTTATCTTCCAGCAAGTTTAGTGTTTTTGTTTTTATATTTAGATATTTAATCCACTTGGATTTTAATTAGTGCATGGTGACAGATAAGGGTCTAGTTTTAATCTTTTGCAGGTTGAGATCCAGTTTTTCCAGCACCCTTTATTAAAGAGGCTATCTTTACTCCAGTGGGGACTGTCAGTTCCTTTGTCAAAGATGAGGTAGCTGAGTGCATCTGGAGTTGTTTTTGTGTCTTCCAATCTGTTCCACTGATCCTCAGGTCTGTTTCTTTGCCAGTACCATGCAGTTTTTATCACAGTGGCTTTGTAGTATAGTTTCAAATTGGGAATTGTTATACCCCCTGCCATGTGTCTGTTGCCTAGGATGGCTTTTGCTATTCTAGGTCTCTTATGGTTCCAAATTAATTTTTAGATTCTTCTTTCTAGTTCTGTGAAGTATAGTGTTGGGATTTCAATTGGTATTGCATTGAATCTGTATAGCAGTTTTGGTAATATGGCCATTTTCACTATGTTGATTCTTCCTACCCAGGACCAGGGGATATCTTTCCATTTTCTTATATCCTCCTCGATCTCTTCTTTTTTCAGAGTGCTGTAGTTTTCAGTGTAGAGGTCTTTTGCTTCTTTTGTTAGATTGATTCCCAGATACTTCATTTTTTTGGGTGCTATTGTGAAAGGAATTGTTTCCCTAATTTCTTTCTCAGTGAGTCTGTTATTTGTGTACAAGAAGCCTTTTGATTTTTGGGTGTTGACCTTGTATCCAGCTACTCTGCTAAAAGTGTCAATTAAGTCAAGTAGTCTTTTGGTGGAGTTTTTTGAGTCTTCAATGTACAGTATCATATCATCAGCAAATAATGACAGTTTAACTTCTTCCTTTCCTATCTTTATTGCTTTAATTTCTTTCTCTTGTCTAATTGCTATGGCTAATGTTTCCAGAACTATATCAAAGAGGAGTGGTGATAGTGGGCATCCTTGTCTTGTTCCTCATTTTAACGTGAAGGTTTTCAGTTTTGGGCCATTTAATATGATGTTGGCTGATCGTTTTTCATAGATAGCCTTTATAAAGTTGAGACATAGACCATCTATTCCAATTTTTTGCATAGTTTTTATCATGAATGGGTGTTGAATTTTGTCATATGCTTTTTCTGCATCTATCAAGAGGATCATGTGGTTCTTGTCCTTGACTTTGTTAATATAGTGTATTATATTTATTGATTTACATATGTTGAACCATCCTTGCATCTCTGGAATAAATCCAACTTGTTCAGGATGGATGATCTTCTTGATGATCCTCTGTATTCTGTTTGCTAGTATCTTATTGAGGATTTTTGCATCTATATTCATTAAGGAGATTG